CAATAGAATATTACGGAGTCCTAAAAAGGTAATTCTCATACATGGTACAGCATGGATAAACCTTGAGGATATTGTACTAAGTGAAATAAATAGTTACAAAGAGACAAATACTGTATGATTGCACATATATGAGATACTTGAATAATCATATTCATATAGATGGAAAGTAAAATGGTAGTTGTCTTACTTCCCTTTGCTGACAAAATACCTGATACCCACAAGTTAGAGGAGGAAAATTTTATTTCAGCTCACAATTTGTGGAGATTTCATTCCACAGTCAGTTGGCTTTAAGGAAGGATAGCATGGCAGAGGGGCATCATAGAGCAGAAACAGTTCATGGCATGTCTGGTAGAAGGCAACAAGCAGCAAGCAGCAGCAGTACTAGCAGCAGTAGTCTCAGATAAAGTCTCTGGACATGACCAAAATGCAGACAAACCTTCTACCAAGCCATTAGACATGTCATCTGGAGTCCAACAACTAATGCAATCCTTCTTCTCAGCAGAAAGCTTTCAAGACTGGTCTTTATGGATTTTCTGGTCTTTTGAGCTCAGACTAGAATCTTCTGTACAGACCAGCCTAAGGCATTTCAGCTCTACTCTTTCAGATGTCATTCCCAACTTTTCCAAACTCTTCGCACAAGCCATTTTCAAAGGCTCTTGAACCACATGATCGGGCATTGTCATAGCAATGGCCCCACTTCTCTGATATTCTGTCTTTATTAATTTTCTCACATTGCTGATCATCATGGTGTGCTGAAGAATTTTACATATCTCAAATTACATTACAAGGCCATTAGTTAAACAGGTATGAGTTACACAAAGAAAGAAGTGTCCCGTTATATTTGAAGTTACATTGCAAGGTCATTAGTTACAAAGGAAACTAACAAAGGCAGCAAAAACAGGAGTTTACATAAAGGGAGAAGTGTTCTGTTATTGGGCCTGCTGGACATATCTGCTTGGCCTGGGCAGGCATCTTGGGTAGGTTTTTATTTAAAATTTTCAATTTTCCCTTCAATGTGTGTACTAATAATTCTGAATTTGCTTCTGAAAGAAGGATCCTAAGTCTTATAAACTTTAGAAGCTATAAACCATTATCCTTTCCTGGAGAAATGTCTTACACAATCAAACAGCTTTTATTAAAAACAATTAGCCCCTTGAGATATGAAGGTCTGAATTGTGGCAATGCTCACAGAAATGGAGAAGAGTCAAGATACAAGAAACATGCAAGGAGTCTAAATTAAGGCATTTGACAATTGTCCTGACCTCCTCTGGTGTTCATAAAGAACATCAGATGAATCACTAAGGATGTATCCAGTTTGGGCTTGCTGTGGTTCAAGCCTCTGATGGACAAATAAAGATAGTATATGCTATTCTGCAGAGCAGCTGAACATTTAGGCATTTGGGGTATATTATTTGCTATTTTCTATTCTCAGGAGACTACTTACCAGCCTCCTTTAAACCTTTGCTATTGTATACTGAAGCCTCAAAACAGAAGCCACTTCCTCACTCTTGGGACTTCCCAGCAGTGCCTGCTCACCGGATGTAGGGACAGTACTTCCGCCCTAGAGGCTCCTGCTCAGGGGATGCCGGGTGTAGGGGGCCAGAGCCTCTGGTTGGCCTTTGCCGATGTCTGCACATGGGGGACTGCAGGTGTTTAGGTTTCTGTGTTTCCTTCAGCATATTATCTTTTACCATGAAGGGAACATTTTCTGCTCACTTAATCCCCTGAACCTCCCCCCTCACCAAGTCTGCAGTGCCTCCCCCAGGGTTTTGTAGGTCTCTGAGCGCCAAGACAAGGTGCTAATGAAGATGAGTCAGCGCTGATTTCCCAGCTGGCAAAAGCATGGCTCATTACTTCTGGTGATTTTGTACAAGTCTGGAGTGCTTCACAAGCTAAGTGTGTGGTGACTCTGGTTTCCATATATGAAGTTAGAATTAAGGGATTAAGAAATCTGCTTTTGAAGCTAGTTTTCTCCAGAAGGGGAATAGAATAATTTCAGTCTCCTGTAATCCTAAAGTAGCCGATGTTCCTGAGTAAACTGGAAGGTGTTGTGATTTCCATTATTTTGAGACTAAACTCTGCTAGTACTAAGGATAGTTGAAAAAAACTTGACTTCATTATTACAGTCATGATACAAAGAGAATAATTAGTTTGCTACCTAGAAATGCTTTATAAATAAGACAGTCAAAGGAAGACTATCAAACTGTGGTGGACAGTAGCAGTCCAGTGGGAAATTTTTACACTGGTGATTGAGAGTGTGAATGTATAGTGCTGTAATTATCTATGCAACAGTATGGTAAGTTAGAAATCTCACCTCAGTAAGGATTTTTCTGGCCAACTATTCAGAACAAATGTAACCCATCCTCTTCCCATCCCTATATCACTTTTTTCTTTGTAGCATATAGTATAGTGTTGATAACATAATCACTTTTACTTATTTATTATAGTGTTTGTTTATTTTCTAACTCACATTAGAATTAAGCTCTACAAATGCAGGATTTTTCTTCTCCTTACTAATGCATTTCAAAATTAACAAACAATTCTGGCTCATTATCGGCACTCAATAAATACTTACTGAATAAGGAATATGTTATTTTCTGAAGGGCATAAGGTAAAATTTGAAATAGGTTTAAATGATTTTTGGAATCATCAGTGATTTCATGGAATATATCTCTGTGAAAATCCAAGTGGTGAAAACAGTCAACAAGTCATCAGATGTTTATTGAATCATTCCTTGACTCCAAATGATAGCTTTTATATTCCCCAAAAGTGAATGAATGAATTTCTCAATGAATTTAGCTTCCGTTCTCCTTTAGAAATCTTTATACCTTTAAAAATATTTTGTACTTTTTGGTGATGCTCAGGGACAGGACCTATGTAATTCACCTTTGTGTACTCCATAGAATAATTTACATTGAATATACTCATACCCAAATAATAAATATTTGTTGAAAGAGCAAAGGAGTGAGCTGAGTTAAAGCATTAGGTTACTTGGGAATCCATTTATTTATCACAAGAACTTGTATGTTGTGACATTTTGGTCTACACAGTAGTGTTTTGCAAACTGGTTTATGTTATTCTGAGGGATTTGTACATTTTTTATTATAAGTTTTGGGCTTTTATTTTAATGATCATCTGAAAAATTAATGTGGGTCAACTAGCTTTCTGTTGCTGGGACAAAATACTTGACATAACCAAATCAAAGGAAGACAGATTTATTTTGGCTTACGATTTCAGGCTACACTTGACTGGTTCTATTGCTGTGGGCCTGAAGTAAAGCAGAACGTTCACATGAAAGGGCATGGTGAGGCAAAGCTGCTTACCTCATGTCAGTCAGGAAACAGAGAATGGAGAAATCCACAGGGGAAGGGACAGAGACCCGATTTACACTTTAAAGATATGCACCATGACCTACTTCCTCTAACTGGAGCCTAGCAGTTGTGAACCTCATCCACTGGATGAAGTTAGTAGTCTTATAATCATCACTACTCTGACCATTATACTAGAGAGAAAGCCTTCAGTAATAAGATTTTGGGGGACACTTTAAGTATATTCTTGGTTATCTGGATAACTAAACACTGGCAAGAGGTTTAGTATCTCAGTTTTCTGTGTTTATTTGGAGAGACCTCGCACTAGATAGTATAGTATATTGTCAGAGTTTAAAAAAGAACACAGGAAAAAAGTGTGATTTGTTTACCCCAAGTGAAACCCAAATGACATTAAGCCTTTCTGTTGAAAGATTTCACAGTATTTTAAAGGATGAAAGAGGTGAGAGTAAAGAATTATAAGATGTTACAAAATAGAAATACTATATTCCAGCTTTGAAAGGTGATTCAATATTGGTAAAGCATGATCATTGATTTTCTTAACTTAGTATTTTCCTTTTTGCTAGTTTAATAATATTGTTTGCATTTATTTTGTAATTTGTTGGACTTTGTGGTGAGGGATATGAGCTAACATGAGGAATTTGGGTCTTCTTTTATATTTTATGTATTTAGCTAATGTCATAACGAAAATAGTTTATGTTGGAAATATCTAACTTGAAAGGATGTTTTACTTTGTGGATAGTAGGGTGTTTATACTTTTCTTAAGTTTGCAAAAATCTGCATTATAAAGCTTCAGGTTTCAGGGACCCAGACATAAAATAGTTATTTCAATGAAGTCCAAGTGTGACAAATCAGCTTTGGACAGATTGCTGCTGCTTCTGCTGCTGCCGCTGCTTGTGGGGCTGGAGGTGCCGGTGGTGCTGAAAAACAGAAGTGATTTTAGGGACACATAAGAAACTAGATAAAGTGAAGGAATTTTAGGTGAATTTGAACCTTTCTTGGCAATATAGCTTTTGGCTCTAAGTTTGGGAGTGCTCTTTCTTAGCGACTCCTCAAATGGTTAAGTGATACGCAGTCATTTTATTTGGATATTTAAAAGAAAAGAATGCTAATCATCATTTCAATAGATGATGTAAATTTCTGGCATGGTATGGGACACAGAGAGATCCAAAGCAAGTATAAAGTTATGATGATAAAGGATCAAAGGAAAAAGAAGCTTATGTTTTGATATTGTCCTCCTCCCACTTCCTTATTCACAGCTCTACAATAGGAAATAGAAGTTGAAAGAAAAGAGATCATGGCTCAGTTGTGATTTTTTTTTAATAAAAGTGGTTTTAAGGCCAAGTATTGTTTTAGAGTTAAATTTTCTACCATGTCCAAAGCAATATTGTTGGGACTTCCCTCAGGCAATAAATATTTACTGAGCACTTACTATGTGTGAGGCATTGTATGAGTAGCTGAAAACAGTGGACAATACAAATCGGTTTTTGGGACCTATGAAAAACTGTTTCTTGCTAATTTTGTTCTATTCTATATCTTCACTTGGTACAATTTAGTTAAATATAAGTGGACTATTTTAGTATATTCTTTTTGCTGGTTTATCTGATTTCCGAGATTGAATAGAGTTAGAAACTGTAAAATTTCAATTTGTTCTTTTTATCTTTTCACTTTTAGGGGTGTCATGAAAGTTGATATAAATCTTCAGAAAGTGGACATTGACCAATGTTCAAGTGATGGCTGGTTTTCAGGAACACACAAATGCCACCTTAACAATTCAGAGGTAAGACTGTGAAAATAAAATCCTCTGAAATCAGAAGCTCAGAAATGTATTACTCTTGTATAGGCTGCATTTATATGAGTAAGTGAACAAGAGAAAATAATGCAGATATCAATGCTGCTGACTGAACTAAATGAAGTAGAGAAAAGAAAATTTATGCAGAATGACTATTCATTTTTAATTACTCTCTTAGGAGTAGGCCAAAAGTAAGAAGTTTGACTTTAGTTCAAATCTGACTTCATTCTTCAAAATGGGCTGGGCATTTAAAATATGCATGCAGTAAGAAAGTGGTCCCAGGAGGATCAGCCAAATTATGCATGTTTTAATGGAATATCATGCTTATTGAAATGTCAGTGGTATTTATTTAGACATACTATCATCTGCTAAAAGAAATAAAGAAGATAAGGCAGGGAAATTTTGAAAGCAAGGAGAAAACTATGTGTAGAGACTTGGAAAGGAATTGTATGTGTTTGTGTGTGTTTTTCCAATTTTTAATTCTCACCTATCCTTGATTTAATGAGATTCTTGTTGATAAGAAAGAGAAATAATCCTCCTGGAAATAAGACTATCACTTGTTTTTAATAGTTTCTAAGAAGAAATGTGGTGCCATGCTAAAGACTCCACATTTACTAATCTGTCCCTTTGACCTCAAAATGGCTATGGAACAAATGTACAATAAGGTTTCTAATTGTAAATACTTGAATGATTCCAATATTGGTTTCATGATTTTGTGAGGAAAGTCAGCTTGATTTATTTGAAATAGAATATTTCAGCAAATATATTAATTAACATGCTTAATTTGAATTTTTGACACTTGCAAATGGCAGTGTTACATACTGCATATAGTATGATTTGCTTTGATTTTACAAATCAAAAGCAATTTAAAATTAAGCACTCATCTGTGCTGTTATTACATTAACAGAAAAGTACACACATGTGTACAAGAACACATATATACACATGTGTGTTTACATGTCTGTTACATGCTCACCACCTGCACTCCCTAGTATACATACCCTTTCACATACAACCCTATACCACCAACCTCCCATATCCCCAACTAACCTTCCACTGCCCCCCACATCCCTTGAACCCTCCATTATACCTTTACCCACTCTTGTGTGCTTCACCAGAATACTTTTCAACTGTCCTGTCTTCAACCCCTCCAGAGGCCTCCATAATCTCCTGAATCATCCTATATCTATTACACTTCTCCATCATATATCCCTGCAATAGCCTTGGAACTTCCTTAGTAACCCACACATTTTACATTTCCTTTTGTATCTCTATGCACCACAGCATAGCCAACCTTCCACAGCTGTCATCCTACCCTTACTCCTGCCAATTGGGACCAAATGATATATGTGAGTGTTTCTGCCTTGTTAACGCATAAAAGTTAAAACTTTTTTGTTTTCTTTTCCTGTTTGTTCTAATGATTTTGCACATTTCTGAACCTCTACTTCCCTTGGGATGATTCTGACATTTCTAAAGCATCAATTTTAATCACTAATTTAGTGGGATGTCCTTAGTCTGATTGTTATCTCCATGTCAAGGGCATATAGCCACTTACCATTGTCTTGTAGCCAGAGTGGACGTCTTTCTGCATGGGTGTCATGTTGTGGATATTGATCTGTGTGTGCTCGTTTTGGTACAGCCTTGTTTCAGCAGTGCTCCTGGATGGTTCAAAGAGCAATCTGTTTAGAAACAAAGAGATAGTTACTTTTCAGTTTGCTATAGTTGCTGCTTACTTGTAATAAATAATCTATGCAGTTTTCTGTCTTTATTACACATGTATGTACTTGACTAGATGATCACTTGCAGGAACCTCTTGGTATTTATTTGAGTAGATAGTCACAGTGCAAGAACCTCTTTCTCCATTTCTTCACTGTCATGGTATCAGAAACATTGATTTTTTTGGGTTTTGTGTTTCATTAAAAGTTTTAAATAAACTAAATTGTTTCAAGATAAAGTATCATCCTATTCTGAGTAACAAAGATCAAGTTGAAATATATAACTTTCATGATTATACATTGGAGCGTTATATTTATTCATTTCCCATTGGAAAAACTGGACAAGCCCATCATGCAAGGCAGTTGACAGTTCAGTGAATTTCATTTGAAGCTTATAGAAGGAGGTTTATTGGTCAAAAAATATAAAAAACACTGGACCCATAGAATGCACATTTTAGATTTAGGATCCAAATTCGTTTTTCTGTCTGCTTATTAGAGTTGACAGTAGGGAAAGTTTGTGTTTTAGGCTGGGCACTTAAGTTCTTGGTGGGACAGGTAAGCTTGTACATGGCTGTCATGGAACCCATCATATTTTCTTCATTTGTTCTCTAAGGTCCTGTAGTTGCTGCTGGTGACTCTACGTACCTACAATGGCTCAATAGCACATCTTCAGTCTAGGTACTAGAAATAGGTTTTTAATTCCTTCTGTGGACTGCTGTGAACTCAGAGATTAGAAGCTGGTTTCTCTTGACATTTTTGCTACTTGGGAAAATGGAAAGAAATGTCTCTTTCTTGGTGTATTTTTTATCTTCTCTGGCTTTCCTTTTTCTTTTCCTCTAATCTTGTGTTATAAACTCAGATTATCACTGTGTAAGTTGTGTATTTTAGAAAGTAGCCAACATGATTCATATTTTTAGGATGTAGGATTCTGCTTTATGAATATCTACACTATTAGAAATAGTGGCACCAACAATGATTTACAGTGAGTTGTACATTTTGCTCATGTTTAACATTCTTCTCCTATAAATAGTAGAGGAATTTAAACATTTCAAAGTCTTAAGTGAGGCAAATGTTTTGCTTCTACATTCTGTCTGGAGGGTTGACATTTTAGCCTCCTGGGTATGTTAAGTCAGGACAGCAGATGTGCTGTTAGAAATAGAGAAGTGGTGTGGAATCAGTGACAAAAGCCTCAGCAGCGTTTTACAAAGGCATTGGTTTCTGAGGAAAGTAATTTCTTAATGAGTTTAGGCTAGCACAGGTCTGGGTGGTTGCTAAGTATTTTATGAACACAAAACAAAATCTGTACTGGCATTCTGAACTGGATTGGAGTGCTATCTGGAAGTCTTCATAGCTGATCTAGATAACTGCAAGATGGGTTTGGTCATGATTTTAGTATCCACCTAACTCTTACCCTGTTCTCATATCAATGTTTATTTCATATAAGCAAAGTCATCTGCTAGGGAATTGTTTTGAAAAACATTTTTAAAATTATTATTTGATGCTGATATCTCATACTGTCAGTAACTAATTAAAATATAACAATATGCAATGTTGATAATTGTTACCTTCCTATCATATTGTTTTGGAATTTTAGGTTTTTCTGGTCTTTTTGTTTTTTGTCTCTTTTTCTGTAAAATAAAAGTTAAAAAAAAAAAGAGAAGAGAAAAAATTATTATTTGAAGTAGGAAATATTAGGACAACAATCTTGAAATTTTAAAATTATCTTCCATTAGAAATGCTTTAATATATGTACACTTAAAATTTAGAATGTATGAACTTTTGTTATACTTTTATACTCTATTCTTAATCTGAAACTTAATAAAGTTGATAAAACAATATTTAAAATATAAATCACGTAACTTTATAAAACATAATTTTATTTTAATGAAAAAGTAGAATTGATCCATAATTCTGCAAAATTTTTAATGAGAATGCAGTGATCAACTATGTGTCATCACTTTTGAAATGAAATATCAGTTTAAAAGTACTAGTTTACTGCTTAGATCTCTAAATTTCAGTTTATTCTATACTTCGTTGTAATAACTGTCATAACTGAAAAAGATGCCTCACAAGGATGTATCAGTGCAAACTGAAGGAATGAACTGTTCACTGTGTTTGCTAAATTATATTGTTTATTTTTGATTTCTCTCTACCAGTTTTGCAAGGTTTCTGTGGAAATACAGCCAGCAGTTTTTCATCTTACCTAATGTTAATTGGCCCCTGCAAATGAATTGACTGGATATTTAGTTGTTTTAAAGAAATACGTTAAAAATAAACTGAATCTTCTCAGATAGAGTATTTAAACATGGGAGAAATCAATTTTCAAGTTTGACATGTAAAGCTCTGTGACTATTTATAGTTTTTGGCAATTAAATCTATATAACACCGGATATATTTTCAAATACACACTTTCAATATGCTCACTTTAAAATACTTTCCCATGGCTTGTTGAAAAATCAATTTTAGTTTGAAGGAATGGCTTATATATTTTTTGAAAATTTCTTCTTAGACACTACTGAGTACTTGTTAACACAGAGTAGGTCAGCACGTTTAGAACATTTATCTTTTTGTAAAGTACAACTTTTAGGCAGTCTTAAGCTCAGAAACAAACACTTTGAGAGAAACAGAAATTATTTGTATGGAAAGATTTTCTAGGTCACATACTATCTCATTATGAAGAATTGTACATTTTTTTTACCATTTAAAATAATATAATTTGTAAATTGTTTGAAGTGGTCAAGTACAAATGATAGTAAAATGAAATTTGAAAAGCAAATAAAAGAACCCAATAGCCACTGTCAATGTTTCTGTTTTGAGACTCCAAATTTTCCTTTGGGACATCTCAGGTGCCTTAGCAGATTTATAGTCATATGGTGTATGGATTGAGTGAGGGCATCTGTACTAATCCAAGCCTATTATTAGCAAACTTAACTGATTTCTTATTTTTTATTTAAAGAGTTAAGTATAAATAGAAGTTCTAATTTAGTCTTTCTCCCTCTCTTTCCCTTCCTCCCTCCCTCCCTCCCTCCCTTCCTTCCTTCCTTCCTCCTTCCTTCCTTTTTACTTCCTTCCTTCCCCAGTATTGTGATAGAACCCAGGGCCTCTTGTGTGGTAGGCAAGATCTGTACCAGTGAGCTATAACCCCAACCATAGTAGTCTCTTCTTGCATATCAACTACCCTCCCGTGTAGTCCTGCTTTGAAGACTACTTTCTGAGGTTTTAAGATTAACTGTTCTTGCTAGAATCCCGGAATTTTTGTGTTGTCAACTCAGC